TGATTAGCAAACTCCTGAATAACATCTATGTAACAGAAAACTGTTTCCATAAATTTACAAACGAAAAAACCAGTTATCGCTATTTAGCTAAATAACCAAAATAAATAGTGCTAACATTTATCCCCATCATTATGAAGTCTTTGTTTGTAATTAAGCACAAAGCTACACAATGGGCTATCTGTTCTCTGCCCACCACGGGTATCGAAACCCAGATTCTAGCGTTGTAAGTCCGCAGACATGCCGCTGTGTTACTGGGGGCTATTATGAATTCGCATGATTAATTCACAAACTGTAAATAAGTATAGTTATTAGTGTTCCAAAAGAAGACAAATACCGCTGGAGTTCCAAACTTAATATATCTCCGTTTCACAAGCTTTTAAAATTTAACAATTAAAACAAAAACTATACTTTTTGAGTAAACGTTCGTGTGTTTTAGCTTGTTTGTTTCTTTTGTTTCTTTCCTTTATTATTCTTTTCATTATTTACTCTTGTGACGCACGTAACTGGATTAGCATAATTATTCTTAGCTAATATATCTTTTCCTAACGCAGTATTTATTTCATAGACTTATAAATTATTTTGAATATCTGTGCCTCTCTTGCTATGCTTTAGGCTTAGCTAAAACCAACTTATTAACTTATGAGACATTAGATGGCACCACAGTCGCAAAACGAACGATAACCACTGCAGAAGAGTGACGTAACAACAGTAGATGAGCAAATATTTTAGCTTAGTAAATAATAGTGTATGACTGTATATCGTTGATTATGTATTACTGTTAATAAATTGTATCTGGGTGTAATTAACATTGTCAGTGGTCATGTAAAACAACCACTTCTGTTTGTTTGTTTGTTGTTAAGCGTAAATGAGCTATCTGTGCTGCGCCCACAAGATACAAGTTTCAGCTATAAATATAATCCTGTTTCAATATGTATATTTATTGTAAATTCAGACAGAATGGTCTAACTGTACACAGGAATAAACGACTTTTTCCTAAACGATACCCAGATTAACTCTGAAAGCTGTCATAACAAAAAAACACAAAACCTTTCGAGTTGATTGTTTGTTATATATCACAATGCTCTATAACGGGCTATCTATGCTGTACCCGTCGCTGGTATCTAAGCCCGATTTTCAGCGTTGTAAGCCCTCGGAGTTACCGCTGAGTAACCAGCGAGCAAAGTCTGATGAAAGAGTCGACTCCTTCAAGAATTCTCGACCTGTCTTTTGGATGCCGAAACTTGTTAAAAATTATACTTACAAGTTAACAATAATCAAATGTTTAAACAATTTTTTAATATAATGTCGAAATGCTCATTGGGATAAAAACGTTAATACGATTAGTTAGAATAATCTTACCTTCGTAAAGAACTGTTAAATTTTGTCTCATTTTGGGGAGTAATTCTTCGTCAAAGACGGAAATTTGATTAAATCTGAGGTCCAGCTTCTTTAGCTCCTTCATATTGTCAGTTTCATTGGTATCGAAAGTAATCAGCTTGTTGTGACTTATATCAAGGAGTGATAAGCTGGGCAAGTTTCCGAAGCAACCACTAGGGAAGCTTTTGAATTGATTGTATGATAAATCTAAAATCTGAAGTCGAGTCATTTTCTCCATGACACGTGGCTTTGTTCTGTTTATCACATTGTGACTTAAGTTTAGATATTCCACCTTGGTGAGAGTACCAGCAAGAGTTTCCGTTACAGTACTTATGGAGTTGTAGCTTAAATCAACGTATCTTAGTCTATAGGGAATGTATGGAGAATTAGGGAAAGTTTTTCTTGTGATGACTGAGAAACGGTTTCGAGACAGATTGACCTTTTCTATCGATATCACGTCATCCAGAACTCCGTCGGTTCCATTCTGTAGCTTAGAAAGTCGGTTATGAGCAAGATCCAGATTTCGCAGTGATACCAGTCCTTTAAAGACCTCTGGTGGCAAATATGTTATGTTATTGTAACTCATGTCCAACGTCAGTAGCTGTGACAGCCCTCTGAAGGTATTTACACTTAAACTTTGGATGTTGTTGAACTGTAATTGTAAACAGCAAACAGTTGGCAAGTTACCAAAGGCATTTTCTTTTAAAGAGATAATTCTGTTGTTATGAAAATATAGATTCTGCAATGAACTCAGCTGCTCTAACGCTTCCCAGGGAATTTCTTCTATGTTATTAAAGCCTAAGGAGAGTGTATTTAACACAATCAAGTTTTTGAAAGATCCCTGTTCTAGATCAGACAAATTGTTGTGGTCGAGATATAGTCGAAGAAGAGAGTTCATTCTACTAAAAGTATCGGGATAAATGTGATTCAATTCGTTATTTTCTAAATGTAGTTCACTGAGACTTATAGGAAGACCAAACATTTTTTGAATTCGGTTGTTGTTGAGGTACAGTCTTCTGATTGATAACATTCTAGTGAAAGTCCTGTAACTAACCTCTGAGATCTTATTGTAACTCAAGTCCAAGTCTAAGAGAGTACTCAGAGACCCGAATGATTCATATTCCAATGCCTGTAACTGGTTATGTTGCAGATAAAGATGTCTAAGGCTGGTGAGTTTGTCAAAGACGCGTGCTGTTGACCCTGAGATATTATTGTGACTAAGATCAAGAGTGTGAACCTCGTGGAGATGTTTAACTGTCAAAGACTTGATGGTAATCTCAGTTAAGGAATTGTGGTTAATGTTAACAATCTTCAGACCGGTCAGGTTTGTCAGTGAGATTTTTGATAGATAATTGTGGTTTAATCGGATTTCAGCGATGTCACAGGTGAGAAACGCCCGATCGTTCAGTTCTGTCAGATTATTGTGGGATAAGTCGAACACAGAAACATTCCTCAGTAGCTGGAAAGCTCCTTCACTGATCGTAGAGATGTGATTGTGGCTGAGATCTATGTTGACCTGAAACATCACCTTCAGAGCACTGTTTGAAACTCTTGATATTCTATTGTGACTCAGATCAAGGTGTTCAAGTCTTGACAATTTACTAAACATCATACGATTTAACTCTTCCAATAGATTTCCCTCTAGATCAAGAATTCGCAAGTGGCGAGTCCTGGAAAAGGCATTTCCAGAAATCTCCTTGATGCGGTTTCTTTGTAAGTACAAATCGCGTAGAGTACGAGCACCGTGGAATACGAAGCTATTGACAGTTTCTAGTTTATTGTCCGCCATATTCAAAACGCTAAGATAAGAGTTCCTCCAAAACACGGAGAGTGGTAAACTCTCAATAAGGTTCTTGGAACAGTTCAAGAACCACAAATTTCGTAGACGACTAAAATCGCGTCTGCTAAACGTTTTAAAGTTATTAGTAGAAAGATCTAAATATTTTAAATATCTTAAGGGGGCAAACAGTGATCTCTGAAAGTTCCTGAGGTTATTATGTTGAAGGTGAAGAAGAACCAAATTGTTGAGGCCAGTGAAGGCACGTGAGTCGATTTTATTAATTCGATTATGATCGAGTCTTAACTCTTTTAAATGAAGTAGTTTGCTAAAAGCTTGGTTTTCTATGATACTGATCTGATTGTGTGCCAGGTTTAATGAGATTATCTTGGATATTTTACTGATCGCTGAAACTGGGACCTTCGTCAGACGATTACCTTCGAGACTTAAACTCTCCAAAGTGGCACCAAGAGGTTCTGTGACCTCTTCTGAGACCTCCTGGAGATTATTGTGAGTAATTTGAAGACTGTAGATAGTCATGTTTCTGAACAGCCCGCCGAAGAGCTTCTTAATGTCCGATCTTCTAATTACAATTGTTTCGAAAGGCTGTTTGGCATTGTTCAGTCCTACTGCCACCATAGCTAGGTTAGCATTTTCGCAAGAGATGGACACGCCTCTTTGACCTCCAGCCACACATTCGCATGGGTATAGGAAAAACTGGTTTCGCGGACATTTGAAATGTTTAGGTAAGAGAGAATCGTACGGTGTGCTCTCCTCCAAGCTTTGTGTCATAAGTCCAGCCAATAGGAGGATCCCTACACAAATCATGATGTTCCTAGTTATTGTTTGAACTCGAGGTCACTCAGGTCTCTGTAAATATACAGATTATTCCAATCTTACTGTTCGTGTATTTTCATACACCCAAATTATGGTTTCTTGGTTAATTAGGAATAAATAACAGATTACTTACAGTTTTATTACGTAGAACAATAACTGATCCAGTGTTATAAAGTACCACGTGATACTTAACAGATCAAACAACGAGACGTAACTTTAATTTATCACAGTATCCTAAGTAACCTTTTTTTTCTTCTTCTTTTTATGTTTTCTAGATAATGAGATTGACTTAATTTTTGAAGATTTAAAATATTGCAGGAAAACTTCAAGAGAAGAGTTGAAAGGATCTTTCGAAGAGAGATCTCGTTTTCATTTTCTTTCGTGATGATGTCTTAGAGATCGTTTTTCGAGGGTGCTTAAATTTTTCTTCATTTCTTTGGAACATAAAGATTCGCGATACGTTCTATTCCAAAAAAATAACAAATTCAAGCGTTGCACCTTGTAAAATGGGCAAGATTTAATATTGCATCAGACAAAATACACAAGATTTAAGTGTTGCATCTTGTAAAATGGACAAGATTTAAGTGTTGCATCAGACAAAATACACAAGATTTAAGTGTTGCATCTTGTAAAATGGACAAGGTTTAAGCGCTGCATCTTGTAAAATGGACAAGGTTCAAGCGTTGCATCAGATAAAATACACAAGATTTAAGTGTTGCATCAGATAAAATACACAAGATTTAAGTGTTGCATCTTGTAAAATGGACAAGGTTTAAGCGTTGCATCTAGTAAAGAGAATACAAATGCTTCTAATATAAAAACGCGTAACATCAATAATGAACGAGTCAACAAATGTAAGTTGTTACTTGTTCTCCGGTAAGAAAGTCTACGGACTTACAACGCTAAAATTCGGAGTTCGATTCCCCGTGGCGGACACATTAGATAGCCCAATGAGGCTTTGCTCTAAAACGAACAAAGAATTGATAAAATACACAAGATTTAAGTGTTGCATCAGATAAAATACACAAGATTTAAGTGTTGCATCAGATAAAATACACAAGATTTAAGCGTTGCATCTTGTAAAATGGACAAGGGGATGTAACACTTAAATCTTGTGTATTTTATCTGATGCAACACTTAAATCTTGTCCATTTTACAAGATGCAACACTTAAATCTTGTGTATTTTGTCTGATGCAACACTTAAATCTTGCCCATTTTACAAGGTGCAACGCTTGAACCTTGTCCCTTTTACAAGATGCAACGCTTAAATCTTGTGTATTTTATCTGATGCAACACTTAAATCTTGTGTATTTTATCTGATGCAACACTTAAATCTTGTGTATTTTATCTGATGCAACACTTAAATCTTGTG